ACTGAAAAACCCTGCTGTTGTTTATTGTGCTATCAGAGCAGTCACCAAGGGCAGGGTGGCCTCACTTCAGGAAGTGAATTTTTGGGACATCTTGCAAGGAATCAAGTGGAAAAGAGACCAGAGGTGGGTCTGCCTGCTGGCAGAGAGCTGTGCTGGGTGAAGGCTTTCCCTGTCTGTGAAAATGGGGTGAGCAAGGAGAAAGGATCAGCTTATTTGCAAAGTACTCAGGCTCATGTAAGGCCCCCATTCCTCACAGCTCTGGGTGTGCAAAGAAAGCATTCTCTGCTGTGTGCACTGGGAGGGAGAAATAGCTGTGTGTGAATCATGTTGAACACATTTGACTCTGGCTGTGTTTGCAGGGTGGTGCAGGAGCTCTCAGGACACTCCAGTGCCCGGAAAACATCAAGGAGATCCCCCAGGACTGTTTCCTCGATGAGTGCTTGTGTTCCCTTCAGCACCTGGGTGTTCCTAAGAGCACCACTGAGACTGCTGATGGGACACAGGACACTCACAGTGACACAGACCAGTCTTGAGCTGTGAGAGGCAGCAGTGGAGTGGCCTAAACGGAGCCTCTTGGCAAGGGCAGCCTGCTAACAGCCCAAAATCTCAGTGGTGTCTGGGATGTGCAGGTGACCCTGGGGTTGCTGCTTGTGCTGGGGGATTTCCATCATGGAGCCCTAAGCACAGGGAAAAGTTTTAATGGACTTCTCAGGTAGTGCTTGGATTTGATCCAAAACTGTGGCTTAGCTGGTCTCTTGAACAGTCCTCTCTCAGGTAGACAGCAGACTGAATCATGCAAATGTCAGGTGAGACAAGTAGAAAAAGATTTTATATATATATATATACACACCCATCTATATCAAAAATACATTAGAAATAAATACTTAGGAACAAATTACATTACCATATAAATATTCTAAAAACAGGGGGAGAGAAGGGGCGAAAAAGGACGGTCATTATGACCAAGTAGGCCAGAAAGTGTGGTTTGGCATATTAAATAAACTTCCTTAGAAGGATTGTTTATCAGTGTTTGTTAAAACTTGGTAAAATCAGCTCACCTCCAGGAGCTTTGGAGGTTTTAAAGTACTGAATTTATGGATTCAAGAAAATTTGTTCAGAAAAACCCTGCTTAAAACATGTGTTAAGATTCAGTGCCACTTGCTCTAGTTTTAGGGATGGGATTTGTACTTTGAATGTGAGATGAGTAAGATTTCTAGGATTTGAAATGAAATATGGATTTGAACTGAAGTCTTTAAACATTCTTGAAAACAACAGAAAAGCTATTTCTCTGTACAGAGTAGTAATTTTGGAATACATGAGGTCTTCTGAAACATTTAAGATCACTTCTATGAAGTTGCTTTTCATTCTTGCTCAGCTGCTTCACTCAGACTTACAATTATGTATGGATATTGATTTTCTAGTTCTTTAATTACTGTTTTGAACCCACCAAAAGTTAAATTGATGGTGTGCCATATGCTAAGCTCTCCATACAGGAAGAGTTTTCAGAAAATTACATCTTAACAATCTAAAAATGCTGTAAATATATCTTGGTGATGCTCAGATCTGGAACGTTCCCATTATAGATACTTTATTTTTTTTACATCCATCATCAGATGTTAGCAGTATAATGGCTCTTGGTGACAGAGGAAGTGGTGGGAACACTTGTGTGATGTGCAGTCTTAGTCTTTTGGTTTGGAATTGGGTGAGTTCACCATGTTTCCATCAATGGAAGTAGTGCTGCAAGGCTTGAGTTGTAAGTTCTCATTAAGCTAATTGCATCTCCCCATCTTTAAAATGTAGGAATGTAATTTCCACAGCACAGTTAGAGGAATTACTGTTTATTTCCTGGTAGTATTCTGATAAATGCTTGACTTGAACCACTTAAATGGTTCTTTTCTGTGGAATTCAGTAGCTGCTTGTGGGATGTAGGAATGCCTTGTCCAATTAGAGCAGGAACTTCAGGCAAAGTGCACCAGGTTAGCAACATGAGTCAGACAGTAACCTTTTTTGTTTGTTAATGGAGCGAATGTATCATCAGGGTACAGATGAATGTGTGCTCTAATTGTCTTGGCAGGGAGGGGGGAGCTCTGGCCTGTGTCATATCTTTAACAGAAATTACTGCAGCATTGTCATAAATTGATTGGAAATATTTTTTCCTCACATTACTCATGGGATGTCAACAAGTATGCAAATGTGAAAATTCAACATATGTCTGCTTGCTGCTTCTGCACGGTTTCTCACACCAGTTTAATGAGTAAAAACTGTCTTTTTAAAATGTCACTTCAAACCCAAGTCTTTTGGTGTTGAAGACCACCTCACTACTACTTTCTTAGTCTTATGACAGGATGGGAAATAGTTAATTAATTTGTTCATGAACTGTAGCCTGGCTTTTGTTGTATTCTGTTCCTCGCCTGTCATTACAGTTTATGTATTTGGTATTGCTCGTTACCCAGCCTTGCACCTTTTTGGATGTCTCTGCTGTCTTTCCCCAGAGCATCAGTTTCCCATTGACCCTTCCCTGTGACACAGTGAAACCTCAGTGTCTGTCTTTTGATGTCTGCAGGGTATGCATTTATTTCCGAATGAACCCATAACGTTGTTACATTCTGTAAAGACTGCCTGGAGCGCAATAACAAGGGCTGGGGCAGCCGTACACACCTAGTGAGACCCTATGGGATTAATCTGTGCTGTGCTCCTGTCCCACATCTGTTGGTGCAAGGTAGTCCCAGCTCTCCTGGCACAACCCTTGGCAGGCTGGGGTTTACCACAGCTGGATCAGCCTGGAAGCCTAAAGCCTTCTACTGAAATCTGCCACATTTACCCTCCACTCTCTCATTAAACACCATTTCACTGCGCTGCTGGTTTGTTTAGCCCAAGAGGTAACAGCATGTTAGCAGTTGGCATCGTGCTTAATTAGCACATTCTGTGTGTTAGGTCAAAAGTTTTAGGGTTGTCTTGTTGTTGCAGTGTTGAAATATCCTGTGTTTTTGGAGCAGAGACAGTGGGGACAGGCAGGGATGTTGGGCTGTGCTGGAGCACTGTGCAGGCACCCAGAGTCCTGAGAGGGGGCACAAAGCCCTGTGGGCATTAAAGTCTTGTGCTGTCAGTGTGGGCATCAAGGTGCTTGTCTGCCAAAGCTTGCAGTCGATGGCAGAGCCATGGGGTGCTGTAACCCCCGTAGCAAACCAGGGTTTGTGCTGCTCCGCCTTCCTTCATGGGGCAGGAAGGATGTGATCACACAAACCCTTTTATCTGGACTGCAGGCTTCATGTTTGGAGAAGAACAAGAAAGGGACTCTCGTAAGACAAATGAGGTGCTTTAAAGCATTATTGGGTATTCAGGATGTATTGGCTGTGGCAGAAAAGCATTTCTTCTCTGTCTCTTACATCTGTCTTAGATTTAGTCTGCAACATTTATTGCTTAAAATTTGCATGGTAGTTGACCTGGGAAGAATTAAGTCAACTCTTAATAGATCCTCTTCCCCCACAGTACTTAGAGAGTTCAAACTAAAACTAGCCACATGTTTCAATTATATATATTTAATTTGAGAAAAAAAGTACATCCTTGCTTTTGAAGTCTGACAGAGAGTAAGGTAATATGTGAATGTATTACATATACAAAGTACAAACAGCTAATGAAAGTTGTTTGTAGAAACATTTTTGGGGAAGGTCTCTCTGAGATTTTAAAATTTCACAGTTGATAGGTCACTGCAATAATTACTGCTCCATCAAAGCCATGATGGCAGCGATCACACAGAACATGGAATAGGGTTTTGAACAGGAAGATAGATCCTCTCCCTCTCTTCTTTGTGTAGCTATCTACAGGTTTTTGAAAATTAACAGGGAGAATATTTCAAATACAAATAGCTATGTATCACTGGGTGCATTCAAATACATTTTACATCTCAGAAACATTGCAGGTAGCAAACATAAAAGATCCTTCTCCTTCTCTCCTTCTCCTTCTCCTTCTCCTTCTCCTTCTCCTTCTCCTTCTCCTTCTCCTTCTCCTTCTTCCTTCTCCTTCTCCTTCTCCTTCTCCTTCTCCTTCTCCTTCTCCTTCTCCTTCTCCTTCT